GAACTCCGTTCACTTCGGTTTTTTTAGATCTTACACATTCGGTAGGACTCCTTGGGCGGGTGATCAGCTCGTCTCAAGGCCTCTACTTGTACACAAAAACAGAAAAACGCACACACACAAACTAAATAACTATGCCCTGAGTGAGATTCGAACCCACGATCCCGGTTTCCAAGCGAGCGAAGACAATATACGTATGCCTTAGACCGCTCGGCTACCGTGACCTGCGTTTCACACCCATACAGAACTTAATTTTCTTTCGCTTAGGTCGTTTATCCAAGGAATGCGCCCAGGTCCGAGGCTCCTTGAGAATTTTCATAAGAAGCTTATTTTTACGGTGAGGAGTTTTTAGCCCCACGCCCAACCCAAAAGCTCGAGGACCATCCCATGTCAGCTGTCCGCGACTGCTTATTCAGTATATTCGCAGCTACCCTCCATACCTAGAGGGTATCTCTTCCATCCGCAACCTGAGGACACGCCATGTCATGGTGACAAGATACCCACTTACACAAAGTGACAAAACTACAAGAAGCCAGAAGTCTGAGATACTTATCGTTGTCAGTGTATAAAAAAGATCATTTTTTCCCCTGTGCTTAATTGATTAAACACTACGCCATGAAGGCATGGGGGATAGTGGGTGTATAGATCCGCGTTTTCTTGATCTCGGCCCTAGTTGGAGGTGAGTGGTTAGCTTCACGTCCCGGCCACTTTACCCCCGGGGAAAGAACCTCCGATACCCATTGAGTAGGAGGTCTCGACGATGCCCCTACCCAGACTCAGACTCATAGCCCTCGGTCGTTCAGCCCGGAGCCAGTCGCTATACCGACTGCGCTATCGCGGCTCCCTCATCGGTATATTGAAAGTATAATCCTGATCAAGTTTTGTGAAACAGTATTTTGTCAGTATACTAAGTTACTGGTGTGGTTGGCAGCATAACATTTTCTTCTGGTCTCTCTGCTGCCCATAGACGTGCATGTGTATACAAGTATTATGTTTTACCCTAGTTATGTCTAAGTTTGTCTACGCTTCTGTTGGAATTCCGTTACGTCTGCTGATGCCAACAAACTAGAACGCCACTAGCAGAACTTTGCAGCCCTTTGTTGTAATCGCTTCTTTCCTCTTGTCCATTGCAGATATGCTTGTGCTTTTAGAGCTCTTAAAATGCATACCTTAGGTAAGAGTAGGCATCGCTTTGATGCAGTTTCCCATGTTCAAGTTTATCTTTGTTACCATTTGAAGACTGCTGGTCTTAGAATTCCTGCTCGGTACTTGCATTTCCATGTTCAGCGTCTGTCCTCGTGTTAGATGCGCTTCAACTGCTAATGGTGTTTGTAGAAATATTGACGGTTTCTCTAAATCATATTTTATTGTAATACTATCCTAATCATTAAATACTAATTGTATTTAGGGAGGAGCACGCGGTAGCGTAGTTGGTTGAGACACTGTGCTACAAGCCGGAAGGTCGCGGGTTCGAATCCCGATGAGGCCATTGGATTTTTTAGTTGCCCTAATCCATCCAGCCACACTATGGGCCTGGGGGTCGACTCAACCTCTAACGGAAATGAGTACCAAGAATCTTCCTGGGGGATAAAGGACGGCCGGCGTGTAAGGCCTCACCGCCACCTGTAAGCCGATTGCCTAGAAAATGTGGGAACCTCGACCTCTTACACCCCTATGGGTTTCCACGGCCGGTTACAGGGATAACTTTACCTTTTTATTTTACCTCGCCTAATTGTATTCAGGATTAATGCAAATATATATTTTTCTCCAACGCATAATTGTTCTCTTGATTGCACTAATGGAATCTTTATTATTATCAGAATTATGCATGTTTCATTGTTTGTCTTTTGTTTGTGTTTATGTATTTTTCTTTGTTTCTTCTAGTCATGCTTGTTTTATAATTGACGTTGGGCTGTTGAATAA